AGACAACAGAGACACAACAGAGAGACAACAGAGGGAACAGAGGGAACAGAGAGACAACAGAGGGACAACAGAGAGACAACAGAGGGACAACAGAGGGACAACAGAGGGACAACAGAGGAACAAGTCCATCTGTGACCAGCAGGGGGCACACTGGGCAGTGCAACTTTTTTAGGAGCTGCTGGTGAAAAATGTTGTCTGCTCGTTTGTCCAGAGGGTCTCCAACCTTTTTCCTCTGGTGAATCCTTTACAAATAAAATCTGTTTTTATGTGTTGTAAGGACACAGTCGCACTGTGCAGTCCTGCTCCGCTCGCTCCCGCAAACAATTGTAGCCTAATTTTCATTCCCGTTTCCGCCGCATCTGCGATAAACCTGCACACGTCTGATCTCTGAAAACATCACGACACAAACAGAACAGACTCACCTTCAGCATCAACATCACAGAGAGAACACTCATATTCCACTGAGTCGTGTCCTTTAGAAGAAGTTCAACCACATCAGCGTAAAAGAGCTTTTTTTTTTTTTTTTTTCTCCGCTTAGTTTATGCAAATTATCCACATGGTTTTATTATTTATTTATTTATTATTTCATTAAGCATAAAAAGACATCGACAGTGTCACAACATCAGACACAAGAAATGAATGAAAAGGAGCAGAAAGAAGAAAAAATCTTATGTTATCTGCCCCCCTTTCCTTTTTCAAGACAAAACATCAACACCGATGGTCACGAAACATTCCAAATCAGTTCAGGCACAATTACTGATCAATCGCAAACAATTGATCAGTTAAAATTTTCATACATACACACTGCATTTGATTTTATATGTTTTTTAAATGTCGTCATTGTACTTGATTCTTTTATTTCTTTATCAAGACTATTCCATAAGTTTAACTCCTTTCACAGCGACGCTTCGCTCCATAACTTTGGTTCTGAATCTGGGCTTTTTAAACATGTAGGTTCCTTTTAAATTGTAGTGGCTCAATCTCATCTCAAACAGTCTTTGAATATTTACAGGTAATACATTGCACTTTGCTTTATACACAGTGTTGGGAGTGTTACTTTTAAAAATGTAATCCCCTACAGATTACAGATTACATACACCAAAATGTAGTTTGTCTCGTAATCCATTAAATTACTTAAAGTCAGTAACGTAATCTGAATATTTTGGATTACTTGATTATTGACTTGAAACACCAGGATATCGTAACGTAAGATGTTTTGTCTACTAAAAGAAAATAAAAAAGCCCATTCTTTACTTAACCGTATAAAAAATATTATTGATAGAAGAGGAGACACATCCGCGCAACATGGTTTAGTCCTGGTTTAGTCCTGGTTTAGTCCTGGTTTAGACCTGGACTAAACCCAGGACTAAAACCAGGGCTAAAACAGGACTAAACTAGGACAAAAACCTGGTTTAGATTTAGTTTAGATCTAGTTTAGACCTGGTTTTAGTCCTGGTTTAGTCCTGGTTTTGACCTGGAAGAATTAACGATCGATTATCGATTAATCATTAACGTTTTTATATTAAAACTAGAAAAGCAGTCAGAGAGCGCAGACCTCTGCCAAGGACTACCCCCATTTTTATATAAATTGAGATAAAATCAGTCTTCTGGATCAGATCTGGATCAGCCTTTGGAATATGAAAGAGGTTCCCACTGTCCATCCCTGAGTCAAATTTCATGGGGTTTGGTCAATAATTAACCCAGATATTGAGAAAACAAATTTTTGGCCCCATTTACCACAATGTTAACTAAAATTTCAAAGTGATCCAGAATTCCAGGATTCTTCCGGATCAGCCCCAAAATGAAATCAGTTCTTCCTTTTTCACATTTCCCAAATCCTGAAAATTTCATCAAAATCGGTCCATAACTTTTTGAGTTATGTTGCTAACAGACAAACAAACAAACAAACAAACAAACAGACAAACGCCGGCAAAAACATAACCTCCTTGGCGGAGGTAATGATCATCATTATTATTACTATCTGCACTAATCTGCATAAATAAATTCAACTTTACGACATATAAACATAACGACTCTAGATCCACATCAGCCCTGTTTGACATTTATAATGTGTTTAATTCAGTTTTGTTCAAATCTCACAGAAACAAAACTTAAAAACAGCATCGCAAATTTGCATAAACTAAGTGAAGATAAAACTCCAGCTCTTGTGTCGCTGATGTGGTTCAGTTTCTGTTGGATTAAAAGACATGACTCAGGTGAATACAGGTCAGTGTGACCAGATTTGTGTTTGTCAAAACCAGGACAGCGTACGGGGGGAGGGGGGCGGGGCCTCGTCATCCACATTGAGCGACTCTCACCTGGTAAAACTTTTTCCCACTGGACACAGAAACATATGTGCTGCTTTATACACTGTGCACATGGACTCACACTTGTCCCAACGCAACGGAAAGTGTGGAATTTCTTGTACAAATCATCGTTAAATCCACATTTGTGCTTCGGTTCGTTACAGACTGACCCACTGTTTGTGTCTCGCTCCTTCTGATGCAGAGACACATGTACACACCTGTTTGGTCACGACACACACAGCAACATACAGTCAGTTTGTCTATTAAAATTAACGTAATCGATGAAATTCTTAATGATCATGGTTTGTAATCCACTTTTTACGGCGTTGTTCCGTCGGCTTTTCCCATTTCTGACCTTTGTGGACGACTATATTTGGTATTCTTAAAAAAAAATCGCTTTTCCTTCTCTCGGTTAGAACGATTGGCACAGCCGTAAACTACACAACACATCGGCATTTTCCTCCAGTCAGTTCACTTCCTGCCCTCCGTCTGACAAACGAAGCCCTGTGACGTCACGTGAAACCCAGATATTGTGACGGTCCACGATATTATTGAGAGAGCTCTGACGATACGATACCGCGATATTTCGGTTATTTTTACATCCCTGCCCGTAAATCCCAAGAGTCTTCGTGTCAGTGTCAGTGTGAAGTGTTTGTGTTGTGACAGCTGTTTTATTTGCGCACTCTGTGACACAATAATAATAATAATATGAACGGTAATGAGGAGTGTGAGGCTAAAATAACCTGTAATAACAAAAACACACTCTGTTCACTGTGTGTGTGTGTGTGTGTGTGTGTGTCATTATCGGACAGAAATAGGTCCTTTCTCTGTGTGTTAGTGACAAACGCCGCGTCTGTGGGCAGCAGAGTCGCCGCGTTTGCATCTCATTTGCATCTCATTTGCATATATGAATACATTAGGACAGACTTTTCTCTGACAGATCTGCTCCAGGTGTAAAGAAAGTTAGATTTATTTTTGACCTTTTCACGTGTTCATGTTTTTTTTTTTACAGTTATAACAATTAGGGCTGGACCGTTTGGGGGAAATAAAAGCCTCAGATTACGATTAATGATACAGTTCTGTAATAATTAACACAAGAATCATATTTGAGAACATGTTTGTACAGATCTAAACCAAAGTGTTCGCAGCTTTTTTGCGGAATAAAACGGGAGATTTTATTATTTGAGGAAGAATTTATTGTACTTCAAAAACTGCAGAATCTGTGTGTCATTCATTTATTTGTTTTTTAAATTAAAACCAAAAATAAGAAAATGAAAAAACATAAATTTTCTTCATTATTTGTCTCCAAAACCAAAATGAAAAAACAGATAAAGATATTTTTTTTTTACAGTTTTTGATTTTGCGTTTAAATGAAAATTGGAAAAAAATGGGTAACGGACGGAACCAGGATTAAACCAAGACTGGACCAGGTCTGGGACCAGACTGGAACCAGACCGGGATTGAGACCGGGACCGAGACCTGGACCGAGACTGGGGCTGTGGCCGGGACCGGGACTGAGACCGGGACCAAACCGTGATTGAGACCGGGACTGAGACTGGGACCAAACCATGACTGAGACCGGGACTGAAACCGGGACTGAAAACGGTTTAGTCCTGTTTTAGTCCTGATCTAGTCCTTTATTTGTTTTGTTTTTTTATTTATTATTATTTTTTTTTTCATTTTTCATTAAACACAAAGATGAAAACTGACAAAAACAAATCATTTGTTTTTTTCATTTTGGTTTTCGAGACAAATAATAAAGAAACATTTATTTTTATTTATTTTTATTTTCTTATTTTTGGTTTTATTTTGAAAAACGAACGCACGAACGACACATGGCTTTGCTAATTGTGTCCATTCAAATTTTGCTTTCGATTTAATTGTGTTTAATTTTTGCCGCCTTAATGACAATATATAAATCTGAATTTTAAATCACTGACTCTCTTTAATTATCAGATCATATTTTTAAAATCCGTCCGAACTAAACGTGGCTGAAAACGTCTTTGGTTGAGGTTCAAAAAATTGCACAAAAAAAAAATGAAAATGAAACTCAAAAGTGCAAGAATTTCCACTAGTTTGTACTTTGATGGTCTTGTTTTATCTCAAACCTAAACGGACTTAAACCCTCTGTGTGCCCCCCGCTCCAGAATTCCAAGAAAAGTCAAAAATGCAGACGGTAATATGTTTATAATCCAGGGAGGGCTCCTCGTTGGTCTCATGTTAAACCGTCCATATTACTCGGTTCTAATGTCGTTTCCTCGTCAAAAACAGACCTGGAGTTTTGTTTTTGTTTCATCCTTGCACGTTTTAAAGCGCAAACCCGGCATATTTACGCCGAGTTCCACTTTGCGATGTCACGCGGTGATACAGGAAGTGCTCCACTGTGTTTTTTAAACTCCACGCGCCTTCGTTGAAATCGTTCGGATCGTTTCAGCTCTGGAATTGAGGAACGCTTCACTTGAAAACCACCTCTTCGTGACGTCACAGAGTGGGGCAGAGCATTTTGAGATTTGGAGATGGGGAGACTTCAGGGCTTAATGCTCAGTTTGAAGATATATTTACCAGGGTTGTTTTTTATTCTGCAGATGACCAGACCTTTGACCTCTGACTCATTTTTAATAATAATAATAATAATAATAATAATAATAATAATAATGTCTGAGCTGTGTTGAATGTTTCTGTTGTGTTTTTCAGGGTCGCCATGTCAAGACGGGTCAGCTGGCGGCGATCAAAGTCATGGAGGTCACAGAGGTACAGTCCACGTCACTGTCGCTTTAATGACTAATCAACATTTTACATCACGTCTCACCAAATATTTTTCTCTGTCGAGTTTTCATACTTTAACACTTTAGACATTTTGTTGTGTTTAACTGCACTACAGAACTCTGCGTGTGTGTCGACTCTCGCTGATTGATCTCGAGTTTGTTATGTAAATATTTAAACACATATAAATATCAACAAAATACAAGATGCAGATGTGTTATTTGCCAAAAAGTAATAAAAAAATAGCCCATGACACTTTTGAGGATTGCCTCATAGGGCCCGTTTAAGTGGTGGGGGCAGAGGGGCTGGGGGCCGGTCAAAGGGGCGTGGAGGGCCGGAGTCGGCCCGCGGGCCTTAGTTTAATGACCCCTGTTTTACATCGTAATTGGTCAGTGATAAAAAGAAGGAAGGAGAACTTGCCACAGACATGTTTGTCTTTTGGACGCCTGTGCGCTCAACTTTATGTTGCAGTGTTTGGGATACTGCATATACATGCCGCAGTATCTCGTTCTCCTATCGGGAAATATAACAGCTACGGTTTCGGGTTTTCCTAATCGGGATACTGAAACCGGGATACGGGCTTATTCAGGATACTAAATCTTTGATACGAGCTTATTTGGGATCCTGAAATTTTAATACGATCTTATTCGGGATCCTGAAACTTTGATACGATCTTATTCGAGATCCTGAAACTTTGATACAATCTTATTTGGGATCCTGAAACTTTTGATACGATCTTATTCGGGATCCTGAAACTTTAATACGATCTTATTCGGGATCCTGAAACTTTAATACGAGCTTCTTCGGGATCCTGAAACTTTAATACGAGCTTATTTGGGATCCTGAAACTTTAATACGATCTTATTCGGGATCCTGAAACTTTGATACGATCTTATTTCGGGATCCTGAAACTTTGATACGAGCTTATTCGGGATCCTGAAACTTTAATACGAGCTTCTTCGGGATCCTGAAACTGAAACTTTGATACGATCTTATTCGGGATCCTGAAACTTTGATACAAACTTATTCGGGATCCTGAAACTTTGATACGAACTTATTCGGGATCCTGAAACTTTGATACGATCTTATTCGGGATCCTGAAACTTTGATACAAGCTTATTCGGGATCCTGAAACTTTAATACGACTTATTTGGGATCCTGAAACTTTGATACGAGCTTATTCGGGATCCTGAAACTTTGATACGAGCTTATTCGGGATCCTGAAACTTTGATACGAGCTTATTCGGGATCCTGAAACTTTGATACGAGCTTATTCGGGATCCTGAAACTTTGATACGAACTTATTTGGGATCCTGAAATTTTGATATGAGCTTATTCGGGATCCTGAAACTTTGATACAAGCTTCTTCGGGATCCTGAAACTTTGATACAAACTTATTTGGGATCCTGAAATTTTAATACGATCTTATTCGGGATCCTGAAACTTTGATACGATCTTATTCGGGATCCTGAAACTTTGATACGAGCTTCTTCGGGATCCTGAAACTTTAATACGAGCTTATTCGGGATCCTGAAACTTTGATACAAACTTATTCGGGATCCTGAAACTTTAATACGAGCTTATTCGGGATCCTGAAACTTTAATACGAACTTATTTGGGATCCTGAAACTTTGATACGAGCTTATTCGGGATCCTGAAACTTTGAATACGAGCTTATTCGGGATCCTGAAACTTTGATACGATCTTATTCGGGATCCTGAAACTTTGATACAAGCTTATTCGGGATCCTGAAACTTTAAATACGACTTATTTGGGATCCTGAAAACTTTGATACGAGCTTATTCGGGATCCTTGAAACTTTGATACGAGCTTATTCGGGATCCTGAAACTTTGATACGATCTTATTCGGGATCCTGAAACTTTTAATACGAGCTTATTCGGGATCCTGAAACTTTTTGATACGAACTTATTTTGGGATCCCTGAACTTTGATACGAGCTTATTCGGGATCCTGAAACTTTAATACGATTCGGGACTGAAATTTTTATTCGGATCCTGTCTTATTTGGGATCCTGAAACTTTAATACGTCTTATTTGGGATCCTGAAACCGGGATACGGCCTTATTTGGATAACAAAAGTGGGATGTGGGCTTTTTTGAGATACTGAAACTTATATGAAGCAAGTATCGGTGCGTCTCTTGCCATCCGCAGTCCGACTTCCTCAGGACAGTATCCCTGGTGTGTGAGAGTAAAAAAATACAAGTATATAAACCGGGACGAGGGGCTTTTAAACTTTTTTTTCCGCTCTGAGGAAGAGCACAGGGAGCAGGCCAAACTGTCAGGTAGGAAAACAAACTCTTAACCTAATAACGTACAGTTTTGTGTCACGTTTTTGTATATTTACGGAGAATTGTCCTGCGGGAGCACGGGCGACGTGGGCTTGTGGGCGGAGCCTCGTGCAGGGTTTGAACAGGGCCGAGGGGAGATCGCTAGATGACTCAGACGTGCGTGGATGACTCTAAAACAAGTTTGCGATGAGAAACGACATTAAAGCATGAGAGAAAGCTACAAAAAAGGTCAGTTTAGGGAAATTCGTCCTATTTAAAGCCTGGAAAGAGACACAGAGGGACAGAGACACGGAGGGAGGAGGCGACGGATGATTCAGACTCAACATGTGGCTCTCATTAACACACTTCCTCCAATATTTCACTCATCAGCAGAATCACATAAACAGCTCCACACTTTAAGAGCTGTTGTCAGTAGCTGCTCTTAAACCCGACTCTCACTTCGACTCTCTGTACCTGCTCGTGGTTTTCTGGGTTTTTAAAAACAGGACAAAACAGAAGTCGGTCGGTTGGAAGTTGGTTTAAAAGAGTTTTCAAGTTGTTCATCTCCTCCCTTCTGTATTCAGAGCGTCTTAAATACTCTTTACTTTACTCATACTCAAAACGACGAGTTTAGAAGAGAGTTTCACAACTGTATTTCCTCTAAGAGTCTAAACCAGGACTAAACCAGGACTAAACCAGGACTAAACCAGGTCTAAACCAGGTCTAAACCAGGTCTAAACCAGGAACTAAACCAGATCTAAACCAGGTCTAAACCAGGACTAAACCAGGACTAAACCAGGTCTAAACCAGGAAACCAGGACTAAACCAGGACTAAAAACCAGGAGGTCTAAACCAGGTCTAAACCAGGACTAAACCAGGACTAAACCAGGACTAAACCAGGAAACCACTAAACCAGGACTAAACCAGGTCTAAACCAGGACCTAAACCAGGACCCTAAACCAGGACTAAACCAGGTCTAAACCAGGACTAAACCAGGACTAAACCAGGACTAAACCAGGACTAACCCAGGTCTAAACCAGGTCTAAACCAGGACTAAACCGGTCTAAACCAGGACTAAACCAGGACTAAACCAGGCTAAACCAACTAAACCAGGACTAAACCAGGACTAAACCAGGTCTACCAACTAAACCAGGACTAAACCAGGACTTCTAAACCAGGTCTAAACCAGGACTAAAACCAGGACTAAACCCTAAAACTAAACCAGGTCTAAACCAGAACTAAACCAGAACTAAACCAGAACTAAACCAGGTCTAAACCAGGTCTAAACCAGGACTAAACCAGGACTAAACCAGGACTAAATCAGGTCTAAACCAGGTCAAACCAGGACTAAACCAGGACTAAACCAGGACTAAACCAGGTCAAACCAGGACTAAACCAGGACTAAACCAGGACTAAACCAGGTCTAAACCAGGACTAAACCAGGACTAAACCAGGTCTAAACCAGGTCTAAACCAGTCTAAAACCAGGACTAAACCAGGACTAAACCAGGACTAAACCAGGACTAAACCAGGACTAAACCAGGACTAAACCAGGACTCTAAACCAGGACTAAACCAGGACTAAACCAGGACTAAACCAGGACTAAACCAGGTCTAAACCAGGACTAAACCAGGAAACTAAACCAGGACTAAACCAGGACTAAACCAGGACTAAACCAGGACTAAACAGGACTAAACCAGGTCTAAACCAGGACTAAACCAGGACTAAACCAGGACTAAACCAGGACTAAAACCAGGACTAAACCAGGACTAAACCAGGTACTAAACCAGGACCAAACCAGGGTAAACCAGGACTAAACCAGGACTAAACCAGGACTAAACCAGGACTAAACCAGGAGGTCTAAACCAGGACTAAACCAGGACTAAACCCTAAACCAGGACCAAACCAGGACTAAACCAGGACTAAACCAGGACTCCAAACCAGGACTAAACCAGGACTAAACCAGGACTAAACCAGGACCAAACCAGGACTAAACCAGGACTAAACCAGGACTAAACCAGGACTAAACCAGGACTAAACCAGGACTAAACCAGGACTAAACCAGGACCTAAACCAGGAGGTCTAAACCAGGTCTAAACCAGGACTAAACCAGGACTAAACCAGGACTAAACCAGGACTAAAGATAAACCCTAAACCAGGACTAAACCAGGACTAAACCAGGACTAAACCAGGACTAAACCAGGACTAAACCAGGTCTAAAACCAGGTCTAAACCTAAAACCAGGTCTAAACCAGGACTAAACCAGGACTAAACCCGGTCTGAAGCGGGTCTGAAGCGGGTCTGTTTGTTGCAGTTGGTGATGGAGTACTGTGGCGCCGGTTCGGTCACAGATCTGGTGAAGAAAACCAAAGGGAACTGTCTGAAGGAGGACTGGATCTCGTACATCTGCAGGGAGGTGCTCAGGGTACGTACATGCTGCTTTACTGTTACCACGGCAACGGACACTCTGTTATCCACATCGTGAAAACACAACGATAACCACAATATTCAAACGATTGTTTTTTAGTTACACGATGCATTTACTCTCAAAAAAACACTGTGTTACTGAGAATTTACACAAAACTTGCCAAATAATGAGACCAGGACTTAGACCGGGACTGAGACCGGGACTGAGACCGGGACTGAGATCAGGACCAGACCAGAACTGAGACTGCGACCAGACCAGGAATGAGATCGGGACCAGACCGGGACCAGACTTGGACTGAGACCAGGATCAGGCCAGAACTGAGACCAGGATTGAAACCGGGACTCAGACCAGGAGCAGACCGGGACTGAGACCAGGACTGAGACCGGGACCGAAATCGGGACCGAGATTGGGCCCAGGCCAGAACTGAGACCGGGACTGAGACTGGGACCAGACCGGGACCAGACTTGGACTGAGACCGGGAGCAGACCAGAACTGAGACCAGGACTGAGACCAGGACTGAGACCAGGACTGAGACCGGGACTGAGACTGGGACCAGACCAGGACCAGACTTGGACTGAGACCAGGATTGAGACCGGGGACTCAGACCGGGAGCAGACCGGGACCGGGACTGAGACTGAGACCAGACCAGGACCAGACTTGGACTGAGACCGGGATCAGGCCAGAACTGAGACCAGGATTGAGACCAGGATTGAAACCGGGACTCAGACCAGGACTGAGACCAGGACTGAGACCAGGACTGAGACCGGAACTGAGACCAGGACTGAGACCAGGACTGAGACCAGGACTGAGACCAGGACTGAGACCAGGACTGAGACCAGGACTGAGACCGGAACTGAGACCAGGACTGAGACCAGGACCAAGATCGGGACCAAGATCGGGACCGAGACCGGGGCCAGGCCGGAACTGAGACCGGGACTGAGACTGGGACCAGACCGGGAATGAGATCGGGACCAGACCGGGACCAAGATCAGGACCAAGACAGGAACCGAGATCGGGATCGAGATCGGGACCGAGATCAGGACCAGGCCAGAACTGAGACCAGGATTGAGACCAGGATTGAAGCCGGGACTCAGACTGGGAGCAGACCGGGACTGAGACTTGGACCGAGACCAGGACTGAGACCAGGACCAGACCAGAACCAGAAACACAGCAACAGTCATTATCCATTTTTTTTTCCATTTTTCATTTAAACACAAAATCGAAAACTGAAAAAAACGAATCATTATCTGTTTTTTTTTTTGCTTTTTTTGTTTTTTTCATTTCCTTTTGCTTTTATTTTGAAAAACGAATAAACGAACGACACACGGATTATTAAAGCTGCATTTCCAAAACTGAAGCGACACAAACCAAACTTTTTATCTTGCAGTTTGTAGTTTTTTTGTCGTAAAGTGTTTTAATGAAAACACGAGCCGATATTTAGCGGGACTAGTTTTTCCACACTGTCAGCGTTTTGTCTCCGCTGTATTGTTTTGGATTGACGCACACACACACACACACACACACACACACACACACACACACACACACACACACACACACACACACACACACACACACGGAGAGAGGAGGTGAGGTCATCGTCTGAAAATGGCGGCACTTCCTCTGTTTGTCTAAAGCTTTTGAAGAGGCTCCAAAACAAAAACAAAGACAGAATGTGGGTCAGTGTGTCTGAGTCCCCGAGGGCAGCGGGTTTTGGACTTTCTACTGAAACGTAAAAAAAAAAAAAAAAAAAAAAAAAGCGGCCGGATTCAAAGCGTCTCGTGTCGTGGTGATTTTTTTTTTTTTCCCTCGTCACAAACGGATCTGGACTCGTGTGTTTTGTTTCGTTCACACGTGTTTGTCTTGATTTTCTGGATAAAATATTGAAATGAAAAACTGGTTTAACAGGATCATGGTTTAGTCCATACCTGGTTTAGTTTAGTCCTAGTAAACCTGGTTTAGTTTAGTCCTGGTTTAGTCCTGGTTTAGTCCTGGTGGTTAGTTTACCTGGTTTAGTCCTGGTTTAGTCCTGGTTTAGTAGACCTGGTTTAGTCCTGGTTTACCTGGTCCTGGTTTAGACCTGGTTTTAGACCTGGTTTAGTCCTGGTCTGTTTAGTCCTGGTTTAGTCCCTGGTTCCTGGTTTGGTTTAGTCCTGGTTTAGTCCTGGTTTAGTCCTGGTTTAGTCCTTTTAGTCCTGGTTTAGTCCTGGTTTAGTCCTGGTTTAGTCCTGGTTTCCTGGTTTAGTCCTGGTTTAGTCCTGGTGGTTAGTCCTGGTTTTTACCTGGTTTAGTTTAGTCCTGGTTTAGTCCTGGTTTAATCCTGGTTTAGTCCTGGTTTAGTCCTGGTTTAGTCCTGGTTTAGTCCTGGTTTAGTCCTTTAGTCCTGGTTTAGTCCTGGTTTAGTCCTGGTTTAGTCCTGGTTTAGTCCTTTAGTCCTGGTTTAGGTTTAGTCCTGTTTAGTCCTGGTTTAGTCCTGGTTTAGTCCTGGTTTTAGTCCTGGTTTAGTCCTGGTTTAGTCCTGGTTTAGTCCTGGTTTAGTCCTGGTTTAGTCCCGGTTTAGTCCTGGTTTAGTCCTGGTTTAGTCCTGGTTTAGTCCTGGTTTAGTCCTGTTTACCTGGTTTAGTCCTGGTTTAGTCCTGGTTTAGTCCTGGTTTAGTCCTAGTATAGACCTGGTTTAGTCCTGGTTTAGTCCTGGTTTAGTCCTGTTTAGTCCTGGTTTAGTCCTGGTTTAGTCCTGGTTTAGTCCTGGTTTTCCTGGTTTAGTCCTGGTTTAGACCTGTGTTTGGTTTAGTCCTGGTTTAGTCCTGGTTTAAGTCCTGGTTTTAGTTTAGTTAGTCCTGGTTTAGTCCTGGTTTAGTCCTTTAGTCCTGGTTCTGGTTTAGTCCTGGTTTAGTCCTGGTTTAGTCCTGGTTTAGTCCTGGTTTAGTCCTGGTTTAGTTTAGTCCTGGTTTAGTCCTTTAGTCCTGGTTTAGTCCTGGTTTAGTCCTGGTTTAGTCCCCTGGTTTAGTCCTGGTTTAGTCCTGGTTTAGTCCTGGTTTAAGTCCTGGTTTATGGTTTAGTCCTTTAGTCCTGGTTTAGTCCTGGTTTATCCTGGTTTAGTCCTGGTTTAGTCCTGGTTTAGTCCTGGTTTAGTCCTGGTTTAGTCCTGCTTTAGCTCTGGCACTGTTGTTTTTTTAGTAAATTAAATGATTTGAAGTTCACCTTATCGTCCAAAAAATACAACAAGACAAATTCTACAACACGAACATGAGAAAATGTGTCTTTACTTTTTGTGTCCGTGTTCCGTGTTTGTTCATGTTCCCTTGTGTTTGTGTGCAGGGTCTGTCCCACCTCCACTCGCACCACGTCATCCACAGAGACATCAAGGGTCAGAACGTGCTGCTGACGGAGAACGCGGAGGTCAAGCTCGGTACTGCGCCCTCGCTCTTTTCACTCTTTCACTCTCTTCGTTCGCACCAAAGCGTCAAAAAAACGCCTCGACGCCTTTGCATTTGAGTTTAGACGCTCGTGGCTTCGACGCTCGTGGACGAACGGGAGAAAAATACTTGACGTGCGTCCGTTGCCCTGGAAACAAGAGCCCGGTCCTGGACTTTTCCCGAAACAATGTCAGACCAGACTGAGAGACTTTAGTGTTTTTATGACGTAAAACATCAGATCGACTCAACGGTCTAGTCCTGATTTAGTCCCGGTCTAGTCCCGGTCCAGTCCTGATTTAGTCCCCGTCTAGTCTTGGTCTAGTCCTTGTTTAGTCCCCGTCTAGTCTTGGTCTAGTCCCGATCTAGTCCTGGTCTATTCCCGGTCTAGTCCTTGTTTAGTCCCGGTCTAGTCTTGGTCTATTCCTGGTCTAGTCTTTGTTTAGTCCCGGTCTAGTCTTGGTCTAGTCCTTGTTTAGTCCCCGTCTAGTCTTGGTCTAGTCCCGATCTAGTCCTGGTCTATTCCTGGTCTAGTCTTTGTTTAGTCCCGGTCTAGTCTTGGTCTAGTCTCGATCTAGTCTCGGTCTAGTCCTTGTTTAGTCCTGGTCTAGTCCCGATCTAGTCCCGGTCTATTCCTGGTCTAGTCTTTGTTTAGTCCCGGTCTAGTCTTGGTCTAGTCTTGGTCTAGTCCTTGTTTAGTCTCGGTCTCGTCTCGGTCTAGTCCTGGTTTAGTCCCGGTCTAGTCTCGGTCTAGTCCTTGTTTAGTCCCCGTCTAGTCTCGATCTAGTCTCGGTCTAGTCCTGGTTTAGTTCCGGTCTAGTCTCGGTCTAGTCCTTGTTTAGTCCCGGTCTAGTCTCGGTCTAGTCCTTGTTTAGTCCCGGTCTAGTCTCGGTCTAGTCCTTGTTTAGTCCCGGTCTAGTCTCGGTCTAGTCCTTGTTTAGTCCCGGTCTAGTCCTGGTTTAGTCTCGGTCTAGTCTCGGTCTAGTCCCGGTCTAATCCCGGTCTAGTCCCGGTCTAGTCCTGGTTTAGTCCTGGTCTAGTCTTTGTTTAGTCCTGGTTTAGTCCTGGTTTAGTCCTGGTTTAGTCCCGGTCTAGTCCCGGTCTAGTCCCTGGTTTAGTCCTGGTTTAGTCCCGGTCTAGTCTCGGTCTAGTCCTGGTTTAGTCCTGGTTTAGTCCTGGTTTAGTCCTGGTCTAGTCCTGGTTTAGTCCTGGTTTAGTCCCAGTCTAGTCCTGGTCTAGTCCTGGTTTAGTCCTGGTTTAGTCCCGGTCTAGTCCCGGTCTAGTCCTGGTTTAGTCCTGGTTTAGTCCTCGCGATCGTCTCGGCAAAACAATGGGATTGTGACACCATTTTGTTCAATATTCTCATTTATTGTTGATATTAAATTAATTTGTTTTTAGTTTAGTGTAACATTATGTCCTCGTGTTGTGTTTTCGTTGAGTTTAAGTCCCGGTGTGTGTTTTCTTCAGTGGACTTTGGCGTGTCGGCTCAGTTGGACCGGACCGTGGGCAGGAGGAACACGTTTATTGGGACTCCGTATTGGATGGCTCCAGAGGTCATCGCCTGCGACGAGAACCCAGAGGCCACGTACGACTACAGGGTAAAAAAATATGTACTCATGCACTCTACAGGGTAAAAATATATACACTAAAACTATATACTAATACACACGATACCGGGGGTCCCCAAATCCTGGGCTGGGGGCCGGTACCGGGCCGTGGGTCATTTGGTACCGGGCCCTGAACGCCCTTCCACCCCGTACATCCTGGACTGCACCTCTAAAGTCTATGTAGCATATCAAGAAGGTGTATGCAAGGGACAAAGGGGTGGAGTTGGTGTAGGTACGGGCTAGAAAACAGAAGGCTGTGGCTCTCTGGGAGGTAGGGAAACAGTAAAAAGCACAACAAACTACAGAGATATGGTTGGTATTTTATATCGAAAAGTGTATATATATATATATATATATATATATATATATATATATATATATATATATATATATATATATATTATATATATATATATATATATATATATATATATATATACAATATTTACAATGCTCTTCAGATTTCCTCACGTTTGGTTAATACAAGTGCACAATAGGAAACAGGAGTGGTGGACAAGTCACTTTGTTAATGTCCTTTATCATTGTCAAAAACCAAAGGGTGAAATTTAATGTCCGCACTTCGTGTAGAAGTGTACATATAGTCCTTCAGGGTGTGTGCGTGTACAGTATCTAACCTACTGGAGATAAGTTTCTCCAAGTCTGATTTAGACAATAAACCTTTGATTTTTGCTCTGTTTTTTAGATGGTAAAAGGCTGCAGATGTTATTGATTTGATGTGGCTGTTAAAGTTCAAGTCTGAGTCCATTATTACCCTGAGATTTCTTGCCTGATTTGAAGGTTTTAGAGAGAGAGACTGGAGGTGATGCTGACAGTACAGTACTACTACTGATCTGGCTACACCTGTTGTTCTTGTTTGTTTTGAATTAGGTTTGAGGATGGAGTTGTGAATAGGAGGTAGATGGTGTCTGACTCCTCCATTTCTGTTAAGAGAAGGATTCTCTTTCTTAACAAAAATGTCTTTTTTCTCTCCCCTCTCAAACCAATTCAATAGGCCGAACTAACAAACAGAGACTGTGAACAAGTAGGTGTGTTAGTTTCAGAGTAGTTTCAGTGTAGTTAGCTCCTCCCTGCAGATATAAGGAAGTGTCCACCAGCGTCTGACCAGAACTGAAGAAGCAGCTTGGATGAGCCGCGAAACGTCTTCAACCAAACTCACTTTTGTCTGAACTGAATTTTCTCCTCGCCGTGGATTCTACCTGGACGACTGAGGGATTCTTCACAACACACCAAACAAAACAAAAATGAAAGTTTATCCCTGAATTATTGAAAAAAAAAGTGTAATAAATTGTCCTGTGTCCATCTTTTCAGAGTGACCTGTGGTCTTTGGGCATCACTGCTCTGGAGATGGCAGAAGGAGCTCCTCGTGAGTTTAACCCCCTCACCTCGCACTTTCACTTTCACTTTTAATGTGGTTTGTTCGTCCGCTCTTCTGTCTCTTCTCCAGCGGTGGTGATATGGAATCAATTCTGAGTCATGTAATTCAAAGAACGCTTTTTAGTAAAAAATTATAACTCAAAATACCAAATTTAAACTTTTTGCTTTCAGTTTTGGCACAAACATTTTGGTTTTATTTTGAAAAACGAATGAACAAAGGATAGACAGATTGTGATACTGTGAAACATTCCAGACAAAGTAATAACGTGTCTAGTTACTCTAAATCTAACAGTAAATGTAACTTGGCACCACCACGTCTGCTTCTCCATTTAGTGTTTTTCTGTGTTTTTTTTATCCTCTTTTCTCTCTTTTTTTGTTTTGTTTACATATCGTCCTTTTTTGTCCCCGTCTCATAATCGTGTCTTTGTCTCCTCAGCTCTGTGTGACATGCACCCAATGAGAGCTCTGTTCCTCATCCCCCGAAACCCTCCCCCCAAACTCAAGTCCAAGAAATGGTGAGTTTTCTGAGTTCTGCACGCGCTCAGAAACACGACGACGACGACGACGACGAGCACAAACGCTTCTTTAACTCTCGTGGCTTTTGTTAGTTTCATGTTTAGACAAATCTCTTTCACCACCAGTAAAATATTTGTAATATTTGATGGTTTTTTTACTCAAAATGATGCGGAATCATCGATCAATCATTCGCAGTCTGCGCCTAATGGTTTAGTCCCGGTTAAATCTTGATTTAGTCCTGATTTAGACCTCATTTTAGTCCTGGTTTTAGTCCTGGTTTTAGTCCTGGTTTAGACCTCGTTTTAGTCCTGGTTTAGTCCTGGTTTAGACCTGGTTTAGTTTAGTCCTGGTTTAGACCTGGTTTTAGTCCTGTTTTAGTCCTGGTTTAGTCCTGGTTTAGACCTGGTTTTAGTCCTGGTGGTTTTAGTCCTGGTTTTAGTCCTGGTTTAGTCCTGTTTAGTCCTGGTTTTAGTCCTGGTTTAGTCCTGGTTTTAGTCCTGGTTTAGTCCTGGTTTAGACCTCGTTTTAGTCCTGGTTAGTCCTGGTTTAGTCCTGGTTTAGTCCTGTTTTAGTCCTGGTTTTTTAGTCCTGGTTTTAGTCCTAGTTTTAGTCCTGGTTTTAGTCCTGGTTTAGTCCTGGTTCCTAGTTTTTAGTTTTTAGTCCTGGTTTAGTCCTGTTTAGTTTTAGTCCTGGTTTTAGTCCTGGTTTTAGTCCTGGTTTAGTCCTGGTTTGTTTTAGTCCTGGTTTAGTCCTGTTTAGTCCTGGTTTTAGTCCTGGTTTTAGTCCTGGTTTAGTCCTGGGTTTAGACCTGGTTTTAGGTTTGGTTTTAGTCCTGGTTTAGACCTTGGTTTAGTGGTTTTAGTCCTGGTTTTAGTCCTGGTTTAGTCCTGGTTTTAGTCCTGGTTTTAGGTTTAGTCCTGGTTTAGTCCTGGTTTAGACCTCGTTTTAGTCCTGGTTTAGTCCTGGGTTAGACCTGGTTTAATTTTGGTTTTAGTCCTGGTTTAGACTTGGTTTTAGTCCTGGTTTAGTCCTGGTTTAGTCGTGGTTTAGTCCTGGTTTTAGTCCTGGTTTTAGTCCTGGTTTAGTCCTGGTTTAGATCTCATTTTAGTCCTGGTTTAGACCTGGTTTAGACCTCGTTTTAGTCCTGGTTTAGACCTGGTTTAGACCTCGTTTTAGTCGTGGTTTAGTCCTGGTTTAGTCCTGGTTTAGTCCTGGTTTAGTCCTGGTTTTAGTCCTGGTTTTAGTCCTGGTTTTAGTCCTGGTTTTAGTCCTGGTTTAGTCCTGGGTTAGACCTGGTTTAATTTTGGTTTTAGTCCTGGTTTAGACTTGGTTTTAGTCCTGATTTTAGTCCTGGTTTTAGTCCTGGTTTAGTCCTGGGTTAGACCTGGTTTAATTTTGGTTTTAGTCCTGGTTTAGACTTGGTTTTAGTCCTGGTTTAGTCCTGGTTTTAGTCCTGGTTTAGTCCTGGTTTTACTTCTGCTTCCTCACTACTTCACTGCTCAGTCAAGTGCTTTTAACCCACTGGATTGGGTCAGGGTTCTGGATTGTCTGACGATCAGCGTAACTGGTGAAGGCGGAGCCACACCTGGAAGCATGGGGGGCGTGTCCTCCTCTCGCTTCCATTCACTCCCAGAGAAAGACACAAAACTGCTGGAGCTGTACTGTCGCGTTAAACCTTCTTTATCGTGGCGTATTATTTCTCCATTGAAAAATAATCCAAATGTCCCGAACATGTTCCCATCAAGACCTGGTTTGAAGTAACAAACGTTGCTCTTTACTGCAGCGCATGAACGCAGCTCAAACACTTGATCTGTTGACCATTTGTTACATGACATAGTGATATGGCACCTGTTATAGGAGCGTTTTATTTAGGCCTGTTGTTTTTGTTTGTCTTGAAGTTCCCGTGTTAAATGTTCTTTAGAAAGGTAAGGTTTATTGATCTTGGAGCGGTTGTGTTTGCATTGTCATTATATTAGTTAAAATTGGTCTCAAAATGTCAATATTATCGTTTATTGCAATAAATTCTTGGTCAGTTAATCGTAATCCAGCAAAATCTGTTTTCGTTACAGGCCTAGTCTCTATTTTGCTCAATTTGATCCCTGCCAACTGTAAAAAAAAACTGTAATTTGTTTCGGTAAAATACATAAAACGACCAAAACACACAAAAAAAAAAAAGCGACTGAGGCTTATCACCGGTGTGCGACGCGTTTCATCCTTGCTGAAGACGTATTCTGTTTCCGTTCTCAGGTCAAAGCGTTTCCTCTCGTTCGTGGACGGCTGTCTGGTGAAAAACCACCTGCACCGTCCGACCACAGACGCCCTGCTGAGACACGCCTTCATCCGAGACCTGACCAACGAGAGGCAGGTCCGCATCATGCTCAAGGACCACCTGGACCGCACCCGCAAGAAGAGGGAGAAAGGTGAGTAAGAAACCCGCGGAGGAACAGGACGCACCCGCAAGATTAAAGCTCCTGTATCACACAAAACTGACCCGTGTGATCCAAAACGTTTTCCTCTAAGTGTTTGAGAAAAAAATTGAGCCTACATCTACAGCTCTGTGTGTTTGTGAATGAAACAAAACACAACTCCAGGTCTGTTTGGGACGAGGAAACCACATTAGAACGGAGGCCAGAGAACGAAGAACGCACCAAACTCAAGCTCAAACAAAAGCACCGGCAGCTCTCGAGGTCAAACTAAGTCCTCTGTGCACTGTCTGCGTCTGGTTATGAAGCGTTTTATTGTCCGCTCATCAGGAAGTGCACTGTTTGGACGCTCGTTTTTGTTCGTTTTACCTGAATGGCCGAACTGGTCTCTTCGGAAAGTTGTGAAAAGCTCTTCTAAACTCGTCGTGGTGAGTAATGAGGACGCTCTGAAAGCAGAAGGGAAGTGAGGAAGAACTTTGGAGAACTGCAAATTGTTTAAAAGTTCTGTTTTTCACTTTTTTTTTTTAACCGTGGAAGTCTAATCAAGTCAAGGAAGGATAATGCTCTGTCAAGTGTCTTTGAGTGTCCAAAAAAGCGCCATATAAAACTGATGCATTATTATTAAAGGTTGTATGGAGGATTTTTTTTTAGTTTCAAACTGTCAGTGAAAGATTAAAATACCATTTACAGAGACGCAGCAGCTTTGTAATTATAATGACCAAAAAAAAAAAAGAACGAAAATCTATCAACTGTGGACGTGTTGAGGCCAGATAAACATCAGCCAATAGAAAACGAGGCTCCCTCATTTTCTATTGGCTGTTGGGTTGTCAATCAAACTCCCTAGTGTAACTGACTCGTCGGAGCGCGGGGATTACGTGGTTTACGCAGCGGTTCTTAGAGGCTTTTTCGAACTGTCGCTTCGTCGCATTTCGCACAAAGTTTGTCGCGACGGCGGACGAGAATCCACGACCGGTTCGCCGCAAAAGAAAGTCCGTTTTTGAGGTCGCGAAAGAAGAAGAGAAGAGGAAAAGGAGCAAAGTCAAACTGAGGTGATTCTTGGAGATCTCGTCCAGCGATGGCGCGACCGAAGCAGACGAAGGGTCCAAAAAATGACTCGTCGGTCGCTGAATTACTTCTAGACAGGAAACTTCAACAGTAATTCTGAACGCGCACAAGGACTGTCGCTGTATTTCTCTTCCCTTAAAAAAATCCTCTATACAACCTTTAATCAGATCTGGAAGATGAATCCAAGACGGTGTCATGTTGTTTTTCGCATCGGGCCAAAAAAGATTTTTACTTCATTGCTTCCTGAATACTGGCCTTACACTGCAAAATAACAAAATGTGACGACAGAAACGTGCAGTAGAGCGAGAGCTGCTAGAGCGGAGCGAGCGCGGGCTCAGAGCTCGGCGAGGAGAGTCCCGAGTTTGCAGTGAACATTTTGTATGTGGAGCGACAACAAAGCAAAATCCCGTTTTGTTAAAGGTTGTATAGAGGATTTTCCAAGGAACGAGAAATCCAGCGACTGTTTGTCCTTTTTCAAATGTTGCGCATGCGTGAAACCACCCCCCCTCCCCTACAGCTCCTACGTAGAAAACACCTCCTCCCTCCTCCTCCTCCTCCTTACGCCACAAACAGGTTTGTTTACAGCCGCTGCACATGACTTGTAAACAACTAACTACAGTGTTGGTTAGGCAAGACGGAGAAGTGAGGAGGAGGGAGGGGGGGCGGAATTTCGACGTGGACGAGAAGTGAGGAGCAGGGAGGAGCGGAAGAGGAGCGGGGAAGGAGCAGAGAAGGTTGCGCGGAGATTCAGTGCGAATGAACTAGCTACAACACGCAGCAGCAAGCGGACTCTTTCTTTGCCTTGAAAATGACGTTTTCAGACATAGGATATCGCTTTCGTGTCCTGAAAAACGTTTGTGTAGCTCTTGGAAATAAAGTACGTTTTCATAATAAGCAGAAGTTTCCTGTCCAGGAGTAATTTGTGGACCAGTGCTTCAGTCTTTAGACTCTTCGTCTGCTTCAGTCGCGCCATCGCTGGAATGAATCTCCAAGAATCACCTTAGTTTGGCTTCGCTGCTTTTCCCCTTGTCTTCTTCTTTCAGCGACCTCAAAAACGGACTTTCTTTTGAGGCGAACTGCTCCTGGATTCTTGTCGTCATTGCAACAAACTTTGTGCGAACTGCGAGGAAGATATAGGTCAAAAAAAGCCGCTAAGAACTGTTGCGTTGGTGGAGTAAACAGCGTCTGTGCGTCTTGCGTCTGTGGACTGTGTGACAGTCGTACGTAAACCACGTAACGGCAGCGCAGGCAAGTCAGTTACACTAGAAACGTAGGGAGTTTGATTGACAGCCTGTCAGCTCACAGATAACGAGGCAGTGTCGTTATCTATTGGCAAATGTTTAGCCCCACCACGTCCAGAGTTGATTAATTTTTATTCTCTTTTTTTTGGTCATCATAATTACAAGGCGACTGCATCTATAATCTATCACTGACAACTTGAAACAAAAAAAATCCTCCATACAACCTTTAATGTAGAGGAGCAGAAGACAAACAGACTGAGCTGCACTTTCTTGTTCTTGTGGTTTTACAGCAACATCACGTCTTGGTCTCTTTGCAGTGGAAGGTGTTTCTTGGTGAACAGTTGGAGCCTTTCACTTTGGCGTTGACTTTTTAAATTCGTAACCAAGGTGGAGCGAAGGATCGGGATTTTGCTTTAATGTCGCTCCACATACAAAATGTTCTCTGCAAACTCGGGATGATTTAGTCAGTCAAAAGTTTCCTTTTTTGTCCTTCCTGTGGATCAATCCTGCCCATCACCTTCACCTTTCACTATTTTTCAATTCCGTTGGGAAGAGAAACAGTTTGAACGGAGGTTTACAGTCACACTCTTCTGATTTCCTTTTGCAGTTATGGAGTTCGCGAACTTCCGAAGCCCGTTTTCCGCTGTTAGGATCCAACAACCACACAATAGGAGGGTTTCAGTCACATGATCATGATGTTGCGCAAATTTCAGGTGGAGGGCAGGAAGTGAAGACAAACACGACAAACAAACACGGCTCTGGAGAACACAGATATGGAGAAGAGTTCTTATTGTCAGGATTTAGAGTCAGTAGCGAGACAAAGTACGAGCAGTTAGTCGACAAATATATTGGATGTGACCCTGATCTTATTGAAAATGAGAGAATTTTCAACCGAAGTAAAAGATTTGCCAACAATCGAGGCAGAGGAGATCACGAACTATTTAGCTCTTCAGACGTCGTTCTACATCAGACAACAGATGAAGTCGTACAAAAGTTTGGAGGCATAGAACTTTGTTTGTCAGTGGATGGATCCTCAACCTCGGTGCAAAACGCCTAAATGATGATTATGGTTTGGTCTTGGCCGGGGTGAGTGTTTCTCTTATTTTATGTGTATAGACGTTATGGGAAAAACTGCAGCGTATCGGCCGTGACCTCTATCTGAACTATTTAATGTCAACAAACGTCGTTAGTCGTTAATGATTCGTTTATGTTTAGGTAAACCATAAAAAACTATTTATCTTTGTAACAAACCTTTGTTGAAGTGTCACTGCAGACACGAGCATTAGCAAATTCTGCTCCTCCCGACCGCAAACAGGTTTGTAATCCACTTTTTACGGCGTTGTTCTGTCGGCTTTTCCCATTTCTGACCTTTGTGGACGACGATATTCTGTACTCTAAAAAAATCACTTTTCCTTCTCTCGGTTAGAACGATTGGCACAGCTGTAAACTACACAACACATCAGCATTTTCCTCCAGACGGTTCACTTCCTGCCCTCCATCTGATTTTGTGTGCTGACAAACGTAGCCCTGTGACGTCACGTGAAACCCAGATATTACGATGTCCAAATCCCAGAACTAAAATATGACAATATCAGAACCAGAAACAAAAGTGATACGGTTCAAAAGACTTGAAAAGATCGACTTTGACAAGGTTTGACGCTCACTTTTTCGAAAAATTCTTCCCCGTATACATTGCGCGATGACCGGAAGTCCTAAATCCGGGATGCATGTATTGGTTTACAACAGCCAAACGTATTTACACTACTTACAGTTTATATACAAAAAAAATCTGTCACATTGTGGGGACACGGAAATAAAAATCCGGGACCTTCAAAGAACTGCAGTGTAGATCTCGTTTTGCACAGTTTTTGTGTCTTCTCCGGTTGTTTTTATAGATTATGTGTGTTTTGAACAGAGTAAAAATCAGGTGCAGAGACTCAAAGTAAAAATAAATCCTGCAGCGATTAGTCAGACTGAACTCCAGACTTTACTGTGAGATTAACAAAGATCAGTTTAAATCCTCTGACTACACTTCCTCAAACACACACACACACACACACACACACACACACACATACACACACACACAGACACACACACACACACAGAAACACACACACACACACACACACACACACACACACACACAGACACACACACACACACACACACACACACACACACACACACACACACACACACACACATACACACACACACACACACACACACACACACACACACACACACACACACACACACACACACACACACACACACACACACACACACACAGACACACACACACATACACACACACACACACAGACACACACACACACACACACACACACACACACACACACACACACACACACACACACACACAGACACACACACACACACACACACACAGACACACACACACACACACACACACACAGACACAACACACACACACACACACACACACACAGCACACACAACACACACATACACACACACACACACAGAAACACACACATCACACACACACACACACACACAGACACACACACACACACACACACACACACAGAAACACACACACACACACACACACACACACACACACACACACACACACACACACAGCACACACACAGCACACACATACACACACACACACACACACACACACACACACAGAAACACACACACACACAGACACACACAGACACACACACACACACACACACACACAGCACACACACACACACACACACACACACACACACACACACACACACACAGACACACAGAACACACACACACACACACACAGAACACACACACACACACACACACACAGACACACACACACACACACACACACACACACACACAGAACACACACACACACACACACACACACACACACACACAGACACACACACACACACACACACACAGAAACACACACACACACACACACACACACAGAACACACACACACACACACACACACACACACACACACACACACACACACACACAGACACACACACACACACACAGACACACACACACACACAGAACACACACACACACACACACAGAACACACACACACACACACACACACACACACACACACACACACACACAGAAACACACACACACACACACACACACACACACACACACACACACAACTTAAAAACGAGCCAGCGTCAGGGAGCAGAGACAGAGGAAGGAAACAGGAACCAACTGTCAGGTGCCCTCCCGTCCTCCTGGTCCCTGTCGTGTGTCAGGTGCCCTCCCGTCCTCCTGGTCCCTGTCGTGTGTCAGGTGCCCTCCCGTCCTCCTGGTCCCTGTCGTGTGTCAGGTGTCCCCTCCCGTCCTCTGGTCCCTGTCGTGTGTCAGGTGCCCTCCCGTCCTCCTGGTCCCTGTCGTGTGTCAGGTGCCCTCCCGTCCTCCTGGTCCCTGTCGTGTGTCAGGTGCCCTCCCGTCCTCCTGGTCCCTGTCGTGTGTCAGGTGCCCTCCCTCCCCTGTCGTGTGTCAGTCCTCCTGGTCCCTGTCGTGTGTCAGGTGCCCTCCCGTCCTCCTGGTCCCTGTCGTGTGTCAGGTGCCCTCCCGTCCTCCTGGTCCCTGTCGTGTGTCAGGTGCCCTCCCGTCCTCCTGGTCCCTGTCGTGTGTCAGGTGCCCTCCCGTCCTCCTGGTCCCTGTGTCCGTCGTTGTCAGGTGCCCTCCCGTCCTCCTGGTCCCTGTCGTGTGTCAGGTGCCCTCCCGTCCTCCTGGTCCCTGTCGTGTGTCAGGTGCCCTCCCGTCCTCCTGGTCCCTGTCGTGTGTCAGGTGCCCTCCCGTCCTCCTGGTCCCTGTCGTGTGTCAGGTGCCCTCCCGTCCTCTGGTCCCTGTCGTGTGTCAGGTGCCCTCCCGTCCTGTCCTGGTCCCTGTCGTGTGTCAGGTGCCCTCCCGTCCTCCTGGTCCCTGTCGTGTGTCAGGTGCCCTCCCGTCCTACAGCAGGGTGACCATATTTCCGTTTGTGAAAACCCAGACACCTTGGGGGAGTCTCACCATTTCTCAGATTTTTTTTTTTTTTTTCCAATTTTGCAGGCTTTTTTTTTTTTTTTTTTAAAGTGTATGAACGTGTATTGTGTGTTACAGGCGGGTAGTAATTACACACGGGCGGGTCAGGACTAAACCAGGTCTAAACCAGGACTAATCTTGGACTTAAGAGAGAAAACGCCGAGCAGTTTGTCCACAAAGCGCGATCGGGTAATTGCCGCGTTTACCTCCGTGAGGTGCGGAGCTGAGCCGGTCCTTTCTCCTGCGTCACCTCCGAGTCCGACCTGACACTGAGTCCTGTTTCAGTCCTGGGTTAGTCCTGGTTTAGTCCTGGTTCAGTCGTGGATTAGTCCTCCTCTTCAGTCCTGGAATCAGTCCTGGTTTAGTCCTGGTTTAGTCTTGGTTCAGTCCGTGGTGTAGGCAGTGCAAAAGTTTGATATAATCTCTGGTTAACGGGCAGGTGCGGTCCTGTCCTGGCAGGTGCGGTCCTGTCCTGTGGGTCTCCAAAAATGGCCCCGTGCAGGACTCTGCTCTGTCGGCTCCATTACGGAATAAATGAATCTTCAGTTCGTTACATAAAGAAGGAGGAAAATAACAAAAGGACGACAGCAGCAACAAGTTTTAAGAAGGAAGTAAAAGTGTTGCACCTGTCGATCCTGTCTGAGAAAAGTGTATAAAGTTTGTGTTGAGGTTTTACAGTCTTAACTCTCTCCAGGCAGGTGTTGCAGATTT